TTTTTAGTGTAAGGATTTTAGAAAAAAGTATCGTCTTATAGTCAGAAAAATACGGTAAATCCCTCTGCAGCCAGTTGTTTCCTTGATTTTATCTTATATTCTCCATATTCCTGTTCTAACAATTCTCAATAAGTTAACCATTTTTTTTTACCTGCTGTTCCTTTCCTATAAAATGCTTCTTGTGCTGAGACCCATTAAGGCATTTTCGGGCACAGTCTGGGTTTATATCTGTTCCATATTCTCAACATGGCACTTCTAATATAATGATTCTTAAAATTTACATTAACCTTAACTTTATTGTACCATAAAAAACCATGCTATCCGAACCTCAGATCGTGCCCTTCTATTTCTAAGATCCTCTTATTTCTCAGCAGAACCCACTCTCTCATCCAGACTAAACAGCAGGCTGCAAAGTACAATTTCAAATCAGGCAGTCCCAATCCTCCTCGTTCCTTTACATCTTGAAGTATTTTATATTTAACCCTTGGCTTTTCCCCTTTCCATATAAACTTAGATATATCTTTCTGCCATTGTTTAAATGGTACATCAGTTGCCAAATAGGTATTGTTTGAAACAAAAACATCCTGGCGAAACATTCATTTTTATCACATTCTCCCCAGCAATGACAGTTGTAATTTCTCCCAACTTAACATGTCCTTCTTGGATTCATTACATGTCTTAACATGGTATAACATACAATTCATATTAGTCATAGTGATACCCAAGTATTTCACTTTTTTCTCAGTCTTAAAATCAGTTTTTTCCATCAATTCCTTTTGTTTTTTGATGTTCATATTCTTCATAAACATCTTCTTTTGTTTATTAATTTTAAAGCCAGGTAATACCCCAAAGTCCTTTAGCTTTTCCATTAATATTTCTATTCCTTCCAGAGGATCTTCCAAGATTATCACCAGGTTGTCAGCAAACGCCCATAATTTATAAGTTTCTCTTTTAATCTTTACTCCAGCAATTCTCTCATCTCACCTTATATCTCTATTCAATACTTCCAAAGCTAAAATAAATAGCAATGGTGACAAACGGCATCCTTGTCTAGTCCCTTTCTATATCTCACAAGGTTTTGTTAGTTCCCCATTCACAATTATTTGTGCCTTTTGTGAAATGTAATCAATTTTATCTATTTGATAAAATTCTCACCAAAGTCCACAAACTCCAAAATTTTAAACAAGAAAGTCCAGTTCAAACTGTCAAAGGCCTTTTCTGCATCAAGAAAAATCAATGCTGCTA